TGTATGATTCTAACTTTTGTGCTGAATTATATATCTTTGCATTTTAGAGTCTTTTCTAGTCTTCTTCTGATTTCCTGACTGCAGTCCCCATTTCTATCAATGTTTGACCCAGGTATGGGAATTCTTTTACTATTTCTATTTCTTCATTGTCTAGGAAGCTTATCGCATTCTTGAATAACCTGATTTACCTGATCCGGTTTAAAATTTAAATTCGGCAGCATATACCACTTCATACCACGCTATGCAGTCTCTAAGTGGTTTACAACTGTAAGCTAATTGCCCCCAACAAGCTGGGTACTAATTTTAGCAATCTTGGAAGGATGCAGGCCTGAGTCGAGCATTGAGCCCTGACTGGTACTGAACTCGCAACCTTGTGGTTTGTGAATGAAAGGCTGCAATACAGGCATTTAACCACTGCACCACCAGCGCTCATGGTGCTTCAAGGGCCTGCAAAGTGGGGTCCAGGAGCCCACTGCTGACAATTAGCCCATCCCTGGTTTAGATAGAGAATGTCCCCTTGGTCATACAAGTGTCATACACAGACGGGTACTGTCAATCCACCACCCATAAAACAAAGCCAGTTTGTGACGAAACAAAGGATACCCAAACTTCACCAGGAGGGGGGAAAAGCTGACAGGAGATCAGGTTCCAACAAGTGCACCCACCCTGGATTGTATTTTGAGAGAGAGAAAAGAAAAAGTTTTAGCACTACTTGGAGGCCTGCAGTAAAATGTATTTTATATCTACAGCAGCCTGAAATAGCAATGTTACAAATAAATGTCTATATGTGTTATAAAACTAGAGGGATGGGGATAATTATTGCCTTTTGCAGCAACAAACAGTAGCCCTTGAAAGCTCTTGGGGCTTCTTTATTTATTTATGTTGAACTCCTCATGTGGAAGAGCAAATTATATTTCTATTTCATGTTGGAAAGGTTTGTGAAATTTCTACCAATATATTTTGCAGTTTCATGTTGCATTTTGCAAAAACTGATAACAGTACCTTCAAAAGAATCAGAGGGGAATCTGTCTACACATCTTTTGTTCTTTGTTTAGCCATATCCCATTACAGTTTACCTGAAATCTTGTGAATAACTGAAGGATTTTTTGTTTCCATTTTCCTGGAGACAATGTACCATTGTAAGCTATTGTTGCAGTGCAAATTATATAGGGATGATCTGGTCTTGAATGAACAATTAAGACCCATTGCCTTTACAAAAGACCTGCTCTTGCTGGAGATGCAAACTACTTGAACAACTTTGTTGATGTGGATCAACACAGCTACCTGGATTTTTGGATTCTACTTGGGGACATGACTATTGGGGCTTTCGTGATGAACATCTGAACTCGAGAATTATCACTCCATACTTTACAGCAATCCCAAATACTAAGACAGTCACGTGAGAGCTTTCACACACAAAAATGAAACCTTTTTTTAAAATCAAGAATCATATAAAATTGTAGAAAAACAATACTTTCAAAATATGCCTTTTAAAACACTACTGAGCCAAGAAATGTTTGAGAAATGGAAAAGCCAGTGGATAACTATGCTCTAGGTCAATTCATGTTGAAAAACACAAATGCTGATTTCTTCTAGTTGTTGTTGTTGTTGTTGTCTGTTACTGAATGCCTTCAAGTCATTTCTGATTTATAGTGATCCTAAAACGAACCTATCAGTTTTCTCAAATTTCTTCAGAGGGGGGTAGCCATTGCCATCCTCTGAGGATGAGAGAGTGTGACTTGCTCATGGTCACCCAGTGAGCTTCCATGGCCAAGCCAGGATTCGAACCCTGGTCTTCAGAATCTTAGTCCATCACTGAAACCACTACACCATGCTGGCTCTCACAAACATTTATTAAAATAATCTAAAAGAAAAGAAAATGATGTTCTGTTGCACAAGGAAAATTATGTAACAAAATTGGGGAAGATGAGAAATAATCAAGTATTCTGGGCAGCAACCCTCCACTAAGTGCAATAGCATGGTTGGTTGACATTTTGATGGAGAAAATATTTCATAAAAATTGCTGGCGAACAGGGACAAGCAACATCTTTCCACCATGCATAATAGTTATCTGGACTGCTCAATAGAGAAAATTGTAAGCTACAATAAGCCACTTAGTATTTCAACAAAGGACAGCTCAGAGAAGGAACAACTCAGCACTATCTGTAGCCAACACAACTAGTTGGCACATTGAGCGTGGAATTATGTTGAAGTGGCTTTCTTTGGCTGCTTCTACACTGCAGAATTAATGCAGTTTGACACTGCTTTAACTGCCATGGCTTAATACTATGGAATCCTAGGATTTGTGTTTTTGTGAGATATTTAGCCTTCTCTATGCAGAAGCTCTGGTGCTACAACAAACTACAAATCCCTGCAGGATTCCACATGATGGAGCCATGACAATTAAAGCGGTATCAAACTGCATTGATTCTGCGGTGTGGCAGTAGCTCACATCTCAGGTAGAGGTCTTCCACGTTATCTGATTTAAAAAAAAAACAAGATGTCATTGATTGACCCAGGAACCTTCTAGCTTAAATCCCAGCTTGGTCATATTTAGAGTAGTCTAACTGAAAATAGTGCAATATAAGTTAGTCATGACTGATGCGACTCATGGGAAGAGACAATAATGCTTGGTAAAGTAGAAAAGTTGGAGATTGCACAAGGATGACTAAGGATCTTGGAGGTCTCTCATCATAGGGTCACTATAAATCAAAACTGGTTTGATGACAAATAATGACAACAAACACCTACTAAGTCTCATTGATTTAAATGAGTCTATTCAAAATTCAGATTAAACCCAACTGTGTCCATCAACTGACAGAACAGCATCCGTGGGTACAACATATTCTGGCTTCCCTTACATATCCCCATATCCCCCCCCCACACACACACACACACACAAAAACAAAATCTTCTCTAGAGAATCTGGGGATTCCCTGAAGCAAATATTGCAAATCATCAAGTGAGGGAAAAGAAGATGAGGAAGTCCAATTTCCTCAGTGGGAGTCTGGTTGTTCAAAGCTCTATTTTACCCAAAGTGTCTGTATCCAAATCTTGTGGGTTATTATAGCGATACTGTCCTGTTGTTGTTGTTGTTGTTGTTAACTGCCCTTAAGTTGTTCTCAACCATGGCGACCCTATGGATGAGACATCTCCAAGACCCTTTGTCCTTCAATGCTCTACCTAATTCCTGCAACCCCTCAATACCCATGACTTCCTTAATAGACTCCATCCATCTAGCATATAGAACAGGGGTAGGCAACCTTTTTGAACCAGGGGCCGGGTTGCTGTCCCTCAGACAATTGGGGGGCCGAAGCAGCATAAATAAATAAATAAATAAATAAATATTTTTTAAAAATTAAAAAAATATATTTTTTAAATAAAAAATATGCATGCACACTCTCTCAGCCCCAGAAAAGCCATGGCAAAACCCCTGTGGAGATTTTACCAAGAAAACCCCAAGAACAAGTAATAACAACAATAATCAATATCATCATGGTGGGCGGCGGGGGGCGGAGGTGGCAGTGGCAGTGGCAGCAGGACCAGCCTGGGGCCGATCCAAAGACCTCGGGGAGGGCGCATCCGGCCCCCGGGCCTTAGGTTGCCTACCCCTGATATAGAATCATAGAATCATAGAGTTGGAAGGACTTGTTTATACTTTTAGCTGTCCATGGGATCCTCAGCACTTCTTCAGCACCACATTATCTCAAATGCATTGATTTTCTTCCTATCATCTTTCTTAACTGTCCAGCTCTCACATCCATACATGGTAATAGAGAATACAGTGGCTTGTATGATTCTAACTTTTGTTCTGAGTTTTATATTTTTGCATTTTAGAATCTTTTCTAGTTCTTTCATAGCCACCCTCCTCATTCTTAGTCATCTTCTGATTTCCTGACTGCAGTCCCCATTTCTATCAATGTTTGATCCAGGTATGGGAATTCTTTTATTATTTCTATTTCTTCATTGTCTAGGTTGAACTTGTGAAGGTACTTGGTGGTCATTATTTTTGTTTTCTTTATGTTCAATATTAAGCGTGCCTTAGCACTATCTTCTTTGATCTTCCTTAGTAGTTGTTCCAGGTCTGTGAGGTTTTCTGCTAGTACTATGGTGTCATCTGCATATCTTAGATCAGGGGTCGGCAATGTTAACTTACCTGGGGCCGGTCGCTGGTCCCCAGGTCTTCTGCCGGGCCAGGAGGGGGGAAATGGCGGCGCACGCACTCACGCACGTGCGAACAACCACTGCTACCGCTGCCAGCAGCCGCCCACACGCTCCCATTGCCGCGCTGCCGCGTGTGATGCAGCCCCCATTTTGTTTGCCAAAATGGCGGCCGTGACTCATTTGCGCATGTGCAGTACTCCTGCGCATGCGCAAATGAGTCACAGCTGCCATTTCAGCAAACAAAATGGCAGCCACGACACACGTGGTGGCATGGCAGCAGGAGTGCATGGTGGCGGTGGCAGGGGTCGGCAGGGGTCGGCGGGCCGGGTGCGGCCTACGGGCCGTAAGTTGTCGACCCCTGTCTTAGATTGTTGATATTCCTTCCTCCTATTTTCACTCCTCCTTCTTCTGTGTCCAAGCCTGCTTTTCTTATAATATGTTCTCCATACAAGTTGAACAGATAGGGTGAAAGGATACAGCCTTGCCTGACCCCTTTGCCAATTGGGAGCCATTCAGTTTCTCCATCTTCTGTCCTGACAGTAGCCTCTTGTCCTGAGTACAGATTCCTCATCAGGACTATCAGATGTGTTGGCACTCCCATGTCTTTAAGAGCATTCCAAAGCCTTTCATAATCTATGTAGTTAAAGGCTTTGCTATAGTCTATAAAGCACATGCTGATTTTCTTTTGGTATTTCCTGGTGCACTCCATTATCCATCATAAGTTTACAATGTAGTCCCCCGTTCCTCTTCCTTTCCTCAACCCCACTTGGATCTCTGGGATCTCTCTTTCCATATATGGTTGGAGTTTATGTTGCAGAATTTTGAGCATGATTTTGCTTGCGTGCTATGGTCCTATAGTTGCTGCAGTCTCTTGTGTCTCCCTTTTTGTGTATAGAGATGTATATTGACCGCTTCCAATCTGTTGGCCATCATTTTGTTTTCCATATGTGTTGACATATGTTGGTTAGCACTAGCATTGACTCTGTCAATGTGGATTGTAGAAGTTCAATTGGAATATTATCTGTTCCTGGTTATTTGTTTTTTGCTATTTCTCTTATTGCATTTTCCACCTCGTTTTTTAGAATTTGGGATTCGTCTTCATATGGCTCTTTGTTCCATGTATCCTTCATTTTGTCATCTCTT